TCTGCTTTGTCCCCAGACGGGTGCCCCTGGATCTACAGAGATGATTCTGAGCCATACTGACACAATTCCACCGTTTCTTGGCCCGAACAGACTCCTCTTTTTGAAACAATTTCTGGGGGGTACTTTTTGTGCGCCTCAGCCTGGTGGAGAATTTTCCTTGAATTGGGACACTGCACCTATAGCTAGCTAGCTAGCCAGGCACTCCGTGCATGACGTCACTATTCAAAACTCACGCTGCATCGATCAAAAACCCATTCACAGAACATGGACCGACCACGGACAGACTCGCAGCAAACAACACGTGGGTGCGGTGGCACGCGTACATGTACATGTACGCACACGTCATGTTCGTACGTAGGGCCTAGTCAATTTCCACCTCCATGAGTATCCCTCAGCACATTTTCGCGAAGAAATTAGTCTTTGAGGAATCGCTGGCACACCTACATGATGACATTGATGTAGTAAGTACAGTGGATTTGCTTTTATTATTCCACACTTTACAGGAATACAATTCATAGGCTTAGCATGTTGAGAGCCTGGAGGAACAAAAATTCCTCCATGTTGAGACTTGAGAGTGATAAGACCATGGAGAAAGGAAAAGACATTGTTGAGACTAATCCTACATAGGCCTGTACAGGTAGGCCATAGGACTACTGTACATGTAGAATGGTTCCTCCGTCATATATTTGTTCAGGTTGTACAGACAGGAGCACGAGAAATTGTGAATTAATAATAGAAGTACAGACATAAAACAGTTGGTTTGTTTACATAGATATTGTAGTGCTTGGCGTTATTTGGTGCCAAGGAGCCAGAGTCACGACAGGAAGAACTCGACAAGACACAAGTCAGGTTTTGTTTACTGCAAGGCTTAGACTGAAGACCCTTTGGCCAGTCCGCCTGATCTGGCCACTTGGGCTGTCATGCCTGAGTGACTTTATTACATAACTTCTTCAACAGCCACCAATCGTGTATTCACCACATTCCTCCCCATCTTATATTTTTCTTCTTTGGAGTGCAATGGGAAATAAGAAATTTATTTAGTAGCTTTATCAGTAATGCACGAAACTTCATCAAAATCCTTCATGACGAATGGACAAGCCATTTACAATTTTTGTTACCACGTCAGAGTCATTATCTACATTTTAAATACTATTTTATGCACATAAAAACGTGGCACAGTTAGCTCCTTAATATAGTTTGTCTTTAACTTTCTGCACTTTTGAAAGTTGGCTTTCTACAACTCTTGCGCAAAAGTAATTTACTCAAGAAATACAGTGACAATAATACACTTTTTTATTTTAATAATACATAAGTAATATTTCCAACGGTTTTTCATTGAGGCCCGAACCAAAAACAGACTTTTTTTGTAAAACGTTGGGTTGTGGGCCGTAAAACTTGTGTGTGTGTAGAAAAAAAAATTGTTTCCTATGTCGATCACACATTTGGCTTTTGAGAAGATTTTTTGTTCATGCTAGGCATCCTTAACCTTAACAGTCCTCAATCCTTCACCTGTTGGAGGATTGAGGACTGTTAGGGTTAAATGACTTAACATATAGTTCAGAGCATGAACCTTTTTTGTTAGTCAGTGAAATACCCTGAGGGGGTAGTGGAAGTTTCCTCCTCTTCTGGGAAATTCTTCAAGAACAAATTTATACAAAGCTTTTATAGTGTTACACTTTCAAAAAAGTTTTTTATGATTAATTAATGTGTTGTAAACATGGGTTACCTTAACTACATCACTTAATGCCAGACAGAAATGTTTGGTTGGGATCAACATAATTATTCATGAGAAGCAAATGTCATACAGTGTTTTAGTATTTTGGGTACAGTTATAAAGGAGGTCTGTGACGGGAGTACCATAGATTTTTGCAATTTCCTGAGCGACAAGTTTTGCCATTGTCAGGTCGCTGAATTGCACTGCCTTCCTCCTATTTCTGAGTTGGAAATAGGGGGCGTCAGTTTCAAGGAGAAGGCGATTTAGGGGGATGTTTTTTGGCTACATCCCTGGCACCAGTGGCTTTCTTGGTAACAATTAACATGAGCCCCACATACAAATTTTGAATGCTAGAGCACCATTTGTATGCTCCGTCCCAATTTCCTGTATAACAGTGGAGGTGGATCCTCCGGTGTGTGGGGAGGACGTTACGTGTTATTCGGATACAGTCCTTTTCAGCATCCCAACAGTGGATAATCACTGGCTTGTTGTTGTCAACTGCAAGCTGTAGAAAACGCCTAAATACAATCTGTTGAATTTTGGGGTGATTATAGTAATCGCCAGAATAATCCAGGTCTATCTCCCCTAGGGCGACAACCTTCGGGTGCTGGATCAAGTGCTTGATGGTTTCAAAGGATTCCTCTCTGAGTGGAATTTGTCAGACTCCATCTCCTCCCGCCATTCCTCATCAGTTAGAGTCTCTTGATCGCAGAAGACTCCTATGCAGCCTGCAAATCCGGACATGTTGACGTGTTCTCGTTGGAGGAATTCCATAAGAGTCCCTTTGCGGTTATACTTACTTAGCAGTCGGTCGATGTGACAGTGAGCATCGATGAATTCTGAAGGCTAGGAGGCATTGGAGCATTCTCCAGTGGAGCATTGAATAGAGGCGCGTAGGGGTCCTCAGGTTGCGTTCCTCCGTAAGGGCAGCCCGACAAATTTATCATGCGCGTCCCAAATGCAGGTCTCCTCGAGGCTAAAGGTTGAATTTTCATCGCCCAACTGACGCTGGGCCACGAAATCCACAAGCTTGCTAGCGGATGCCAACCCTAACCTCGAGCAGACGTGATCAACAAACCGTTCACTCGTTCAGCCAGTTTTAGAAGATGGCTTTTTCCAAATGGGCCATGCATGTCACAGTGCAATGCAATTTCTATTCATCTGCACTTCCAGCAAGCAAGGAGTGGGAACAGGAACCACCATCCCTCACTAGTGATGTGGTATCTGATGACATGTCGTCATAGCTTGTGGGTTTTTGTTTCACACCCTGGATGTGGACAGTGCTGTTGGTGCTTCTTCTAGGATGGAGGGGTCGCATGTGGAACTGGAGGGGACATCTGTGGGGGTAATTAGATGTTAGGTGATGGTGTGAGCGAATTGGTAAGTGGAAGTGGCGTAGATTGTGTCTCAGCGGGATCTAGTAGTCCCTCCTCGTTATAATCTAGCACGAAATCAACCTCCTCCATCTTCTGAATTAGGTAAGGAATTACAAACTAAATATGACAACTTACAAAATATAATCTTTGACTTTCTTACCATCTTTAAAAAGCTAAATTTTGTCTCTGAAGCGAGCAGGAGGCTTAACTTGCCCACCACTCCTTGTTGTGGTGGAAATGCAAAGATCAACTTCTTTACTTTCATTACATGTATTAACATTTTCACTTTCCCTCTTGGGGAAGGGTAGGACATGAACATTTTCGTGTACCGTACTGTTCTCTGAAGTGTCAGCTCCTATCAGTTTGTGTCGCATTCGCCGCAACCAGAATGGGATCTTACGGTCTTCACATTTTTTGAGCATATTGTGTTAAACGACCATGCTTTTCTTTCTACTGCGTACTCTGTACAATACTGGGGAGAGAGGTTCTTCAACCAAAAGTGGCCCAAGCCATATCGGTTGTAGTTTATGGGACTGGCCGGTTTGGGATGATTTATTTATTACTTGTACACAATGCCCCCTTCCTCAAATGCACAGTAATTTTGGCCTAGATCATAGTTTCTCTTCTGATAATTCTGTGCTGCCCTGATGTTATTTCTTGTCTGTGCATGAGTTTTTAGCATTCTCTTTTATAGGTTTCATGCATACTCATGAGGCTGTTCACTCTCTGAATCATTAGTTTTCATTTCCAAAAAATAATTCTACTGGTTGCACAACCTCTCATCCCAGCATTAACAGGTGTGGTGTTAAGCAGGTGTGTCGATTTGGAAGGGCACGTATAGCGGCCATCAAAATAGGAAGATCTTCATCCCATTCAGAGACATTTCCTTTTAGATGGCATCTCAAGACTTGTTGGGTAGTTCGGTTGTACCTTTCCACCTGACCATTGGAGCAGGGTTGATAAGGAGTTGTACAGGTCTTAATAATGCCTAGAATGTCTTTGAATTGATTGAAACAAGTTGCTTGTAAAATTTGTGCCCCGGTCCGTGTGAATTTGGAGGGGACATCCAAAGCCAGAAATGAAATTATCAATGGTGATTCTTACAACGGATTCAGCCTTCTGGTCTGGTAGGGGGTATGCTTCAATCCACTTAGTGAACTGACAAATTAACATAAGAATATATTGATTACCGTACTTAGTTGGTTTAAAAGCTTCCAGGATGTCTAAGTGAATGCGTTCAGAGGGAGCTCCTGCGGGAAATTTCGTTAGGGGGGCTTTAGTTTTTCTAGAGGGTTTTTTGCTTGCTTTGCATTTCTTGCATGATTAAACGTGGAGAGTGGCATCTTCACCCATTTTGTATCAGAGTGGTCGAGTGGTTAAGACATCTGCACTAGTAAGCAGGAGGTCGTGGGTTCAAGTCCCATCCGAGTAAGCTTGTGAGGTTTTTTCGCAAGCTCTCAGACAAGCACTGAGCATACAGTGCTTATCAATATACGTTGGGTAAGGGCAAACCTGTTATATATAATTAACATCTCCCCAACGCAAAAATACATCTTGAAGACTGTGTGTACATGCATGTTTGACAAAAAGGGAGATATTACCCTCGTCCAACAAAACGCCGGAGCAAGGGACAAGACGTTTCTCGATCTACACTGGTTTCATTGTTAGCGTGACAACTGGTGTCCTCCGAAGAAAAGGTGTCACTCTTGGGTGAGGGTTGAACCAGGGGGTTGGGTGTTTCAATGGATATGCAACACTGCGAAGGTACTGTGGCTACCGAGTCTACTACCGATATTTCTCGCACTGCGAGGGGGATGACATCATCGATGCCATCTTCAAAGCGTGCCCACTGATTATGGATTTTGATGCAATAACCACAACCTCCACATGGGAGATCGTTAACTTTGCTGCCTGCTAAATAACAATTGCAGATTGAATCTGTTGAGGAAATTCTAGATAAGGAGTCGGCATTTGTATGTTTCTGTCCTTTTCTATGAATGATTACCATGTCATACTGGCTGAGCTCCTCAACCCAACGTGCTAGTATCCCTGAAAGGAGTTTAAATTGCATAAGCCATGCTAGGCTTCCATGGTCAGTCCTAGCATAGAACCGACTGCCTAATGGGTAGTGGCGAAACTGTCTCGTAAACCGGACCACTGCTAAGAGTTCTTTTTGCATTGTGCAGTACTTTCTTTGAGCGGGAGTAAGTATGTAACTGCCGTACATGCAATTGCAGGCTCTACTTTATCTTGGATTTGCGTTAGTTCTGCCCCTATCGCTAAATCTGAGGCGTCCGTATCCAAGACGAACAGTTCATTGTTGTTACGCGGGAAAGTTAGCACTGGGTTTGTGGTGAGTATTTTTTTAAGTCGCCGAAAGGTTGTTTCGTGTTCATTGCACCAAACAAATTTGTTGTTTTTTTTTATGAGTTCATACAGAGGGTTTGCTAGTTTAGCAAAATTCTTTATATGGGCACTATGGTAAGTAACGAACCCGAGGAACCTTTCTACATCCTTCTGCAGCTAGGTGTGGGCCAATTTCGAACAGTAGACACGCTACTAGGATTTGAGGAGATGCCCTTCGAACTGACTAGTTTTCAGAGAAAAAGTACTGTTCTTCTTTTTGAAATAGCTGACATTTTTTGGCCTTGAGTTTCAGATTGTGCTTGTGAAATCTTTGCAAATCCTCAATGAGGTTTCCCATGGAGTCCTCAAAACTCTTCCCTAGAATTACTATATCGTCCAGATATACTAGAACATGTTCCCACGTAAGGCCTCAAAAGTATTAGTGTCATAGCACGTTGGAAAGTGGCGGGGGCATTACATAGCCCAAATGGCATTCATTCATACTCGAACACGCCATACTTAGTGTTAAATGCTGTTTTGTTCCTATCCTCTTCAGCTTGTTCAATTTGATAGTAGTTGCTACTCATGTCTAAGGTGTTGAAGAATTCCGTTCCCTGTAGTATGTCCAAACATTCTTCAATGTTTGGAAGCGGGAACGCGTCTTTAACAGTTACATCGTTAAGAGCTCTGTAATCTATACAAGAACAGACTTTTCCATCTTTCTTTCTTATCGAAACTGGAGGTGACGCCGAAGCCGATGGCCGTATCACACCCGATTCAAGCAAAGTATTTATATGTGCTTTTTCTTCAGCCTCGAAGCTTAGCGGCGTCCTACGCATTTTCTGTTTAATAGGGATTGCGTTCCCTGTATTGATAGAATGTTGAACCGCTGAGAACCTTCCCAGTTCAGTGTCGTTTTCAGAAAAGACATCTGCATATTCAGTAAGAACATTAGCTAAACGGTTTGATTGGTCAGTAGTTAAGTGTTCTCGTGACCTGCTGCATACATGTAGTTCTGAAACGTGGGGGATTTGATTAATTTGTAGTACAGTCATTCCTGATTGGGAGTCGCCCGACAGACACCGAACTTCTCACTACTGCTTTTGTTGCTGGCGATACTGTATTTGGTTATACATGTACCTTGTGCTATCAAGGGGTCATCCAACAAACGCCGGACTTCTTGCGAAGTATCGTTTTTGCTGTTGGGGACAACACTCTCACTATTGCCTGGTACTGCGATGGAGTCGCCCAACAAATGCCAGCCCACTCCATGTGAAATATCACCATTTGACAGTACATGTACATGTATGTCCTCAACGACTTCTGCCCTTCCTATTACGTGACCTTTTTTCAGACGTATACATCTTATTACTATCGTTGCGGAGGAGCATGTTGCATGTGGTAAGGTTCGAAATGTTTGAGGAAACTAGGGCATACTGTATGGAAATTCCTTTATGATACATTTCTGGGCTATAGACAAGGAATGTTTTGTTTGATGGAGTGGAGAACTGGACTCTGGTGAGAATCTCTGAGTTTGGGGGTACAACCACTTTCCTTGCCAGTGTCATCCTGTGAACGGAATATTTCTCTAGTTGGTTTTCCTCATTTGTGCGTTAATGCAAACCATCTAGGCTCAATGTGTCTTTTCTCAGATTGATAACCCCGGAGTGTGCTTTAAGAAAGTCTAGCCCCAGTTTACATGAATCTTCTATGGGGGCTACAAGTATGGCCCATTTATAATTTTGGTCACCTAGGATTAGGGTGACATTTTGGAATTTGTTGGCATGTACATGTATCTTACTGCTCTTACCTGCTCCCCTTAGAAGTACCTGTCCACATGACGTAGTAGGATGTTTATTTTGACCAAATAACTCATCAATGATTAATGATACTTGAGCTGCAGTATCCACAATAGCATGTGTATCTATACCATGAACCTTAATTGGGATTACTAGATTTATACAGGATTGCTAGACAAGTGAATTTCTTGTACCACTGTCGACGTTTGATTGCTATGACATTTAGAGGATGAAGGGATGGATAGGCGCATTGGTTTTGAATTGACCGATCGTTGTCCACTCCATTGGTCATCACTGGTTTAAAGACGGAGTTTGTGCTGGAACCATAAGAGGGCATATTTTTTGGTGGGAACTGCATCACAGGAGACTATGAAGTACATGCATCACGTTTGCATCGCTACCAGCAAATGAACTCTCCCACCAACATGCCTGACATGGCTCTTTTCAACCAATGAGGGGGTGTTTCTACTCAGGGCGGATAGACCTACATGTACATTTCAAAAAGAACTCCATGATGTATGATGATGTACACTTATCCGGGCTTTTCTTCCCACCTCTAAAACTGAATATCTCTTCATTGTCTTCTTCACTCATTATCATCCTGTAATTGTCGCTAAAGGCGCTGTTGGATGATCAGATAAATATATAAATAAAATAAATATAGATGTAATATGGATGCAGCTTGGCACCCCAAGTGTTTTCTAATTGAATACCAACAACATTTCACTGCTAAATTTTGACCTTTTAGGACACTTTTTGATTGCTTTGAGATGGCTGGTAGTGCCTATACTAATGTTAGGTCACTGTAGGGAAATATTAGAGGCATCAGTAATGGATTTCTTTACCTACATGTAGGCCTACATCTTGGCCTACATCTCGACTAACATTGAGGATATATGCATCAAGTAATCGTGCCATTGCATCTTGACTGTTAGTGTTCCCTCAAGTGGCACACTTGAAAAAATTGCCCAAAACCCCACATAACCATTGGAGAAGTTCTGTAAACTGGATAATTTCTATTACATGTACCTCAATTTACATACACTTAAACAAACGTTTGTTAGACAATCATTTTTAATTTTAGAAGTGGTTTGGAAGTGTCCATTTTGTACTGAAGGAATAAAAATTGTTATTGAGCCAAAATAAAATTTTCATTGGAAAGTTGTAATGGGTGAGTAAAATCAGGAGTTTTGAATTACATGTAGATTAGTGGGAGTTTGATGAAATTTCACTTACTTTGAAATTTGCGGTAAAAATGTTGCTCCCGCAAGGCACTGGAGGCAAACAAATCAAACTGCACCAAAGTTAGGGGGTGCGCAGTTAGGGGCTTCAAAAATACATGAAGGATGTTGCTGTGACAACAGTAAAAGCTGAAGGGATGCATTGCTTTTGTTTTTTATTTTTATTGTAGGAGGAAGTCATAAGAGAAGATGATGGAGCAAGGAGTGGGCAGCATCAGTGGAGAGCACAGAACCTGAGTAAGTTCCTTTCCAGCACCAGGTTATTCAATGACAAGCTGGATTGAGAAAGTGAACTTTACTCATTTTCCCCCATACTATTACATGTGTCTTAATGCCAACCTTCCCAGATCCTTCAAAATCCACCAGCAGATTTGTGGAAGATTGAGGAAGGTAGAGCCCAGCCTCTTTAAATTCAAATGGGACTTGATGTGTCCATAGAATTTTGGAGAATGTGTCATTGTGGGGAGGATTTTTTTTAGTCACTTGTTAGTCATATTTGCCATCTGTGAAGAAATCAATTTTTACAGGTAGATTTGGCCCTGATACTTCCTAACGTCTTAACTGTAAAAGAGCTTGGTTACATTGGACCCCCTCGCGGCACGCGGCAATCCCCCTAGAATTGAGCTGTCTATTGTCGGATTTTTGTACAAATTTCATATGCATGACTTCCCTTCTCAATATATCTAAGTTTTATCTCAATCTGTCATATGGTTTGACAGTCACTTGGAAGTTGGGAATGGCAGCGAAAAAGTTTACATTCTTGGTTGACCTCTCTTAGAAAAAAAGGTGCTGTGCGAGAACGCTATGTTGAATTTTCACAAAAATGATGTCAGAACAACCAAAAACAGTTATTCAAAAAACTCGAGAAGGCATCACTGGCCTGATAGAGTAAACCAATAGCAGCCTGGTTGGTCCCCTTCCTATGGGCTCATTTTCTGGCAACACTGGCCTGATAGAGTTAGGTGATAGCAGCGTGGTTGGTCGCCTTCCTGTGGGCTCATTTTCAGGCATTACTGGCCTGATAGAGTAAAGCGATAGCAGCGTGGTTGGTCCCCTTCCCGTGGGCTCATTTTCTGGCATCACTGCCCCAGTAGAGTCATCTCTTGTTTTACAACAATAGTAGTCATGATTTTGGTTGTCACAACAATTTGTTTAAAGGTGCAGTCCACTGTTTGTCTTTTGTGGATTATTTTCCTTTGAATCAACAAAATTACTCAAAATCTAAGGAAGGGAACACAAGAATGAACCTGATAATGAAGTTTCAGCTTAATAGTGAATGCTCCATATTCTGAGAAAACTATTCTAGGACTTAGATTTCAGATCAGAAGTTGCCGAGTCGTGTTTTAAATTGTGCCTGAATTCAGCATCTGGGCAACATTGTCATATTCAGTCGAATACAGCTACACCTTGTCACCCCCTGAACTAGAAACTGCTAGTGTCTGTGCATCTTTTCAACGCTTGCACGTTTTTCTAATCGTAACTTTCCAAAAATTTGAGAAGGCACCTGCTTGAAATTGTTGTTTCTTCATGATGACTGTTTGCGAGAAAGAACAGTTTCTCTCAGAATTGAGTCCTCCATCTAAACCAAGTGTGCTTTTCAACAACAATTTTGGATACCTTTTGGATAATTGCAAATGACAGAATGTTCAGTACAGGGTTCCCACCGTCATTGAAGATCCTGGGAAAAATTAGTCCTGGAAAGTCGTGGAAAACTCATAGAAAATTGGTCTTAGAAAAAGTCATGGAAATCAAGGTCGTACAAGGGTAATTTTGGTGGTGGTTATGGTTAGTGGCTATGGCAGTCTTCCTGTTTATTACGTGTATACCAAACAAATTTTCTGTGCAGAGTGGCATTAAGTGCCATGGAAATTTTCATATTTTAGTTCTGGAAAGTGCAGAAAAGGTCTCTGAATTTGATTTTCAGATTTCATGGGAACCTTGCTTGTAACAATTAGGGCCCATTTCCATGGCACTGCTTAGCACGCGATTTCACGCTTGAAGAGGCTCCGCGTGTTTCATGCATATTGTAAACAGTAAGCACAGCCAAATGCATCTTAACCTTGGAGGAAAGATTTGCTTTAATTTAGTGATGTAATAACAGAAATCTCTATCCACTTGCAACCGTTAGCACGACCATCCCGAGCACCGCCATGAAATAGTGCTCAAGGTTCGCACATTTTTCTGCCAAAGTTAGCAAGAATTTTCTTCTGTGTTAAGAAGCCCCATGAAATTGTGCCCTGACCCCACCCAGCCTGTTACACCCTACACACCCCAGCACCATATGGTTTTTATGGATTTAACAGCAACCCACAATAAGAGTCTGTGGTGATAGGTTGAAGTATGGATGTTTTGCTCATTTGGGGAAAAAATTATTATTACAGTGTGGCTAAAAAACTTTAGGTGACCTTTTCTTGTTGTTTCTTATCATTTTTCCCAGTGTTTAGATTTGGGAAGGCCTCATTACCAGGTGAATGTACTCCCATGGCTGCCTACATGTACATGAACGTTGAGGGTGGCTAGCATCATGGTGCAAGTGGACTGACCGATGAAATCTCCAAAGTGAAGAGGCAGGTTACGTCATAAGTAGTACCTGTAAGAGTCCTGTGTTTCATATCATATCCTTTCTGCAATGATGAATCTGGGAAAGGGGGAGGGGCCAATTGGGGTCATGACCAAAAAAGGAGCAAAAGTTGTTTTCATTTGAAAAAAAACGAGAGGATCTTTTTGGTCTATTTAATTTCCCTTCTTTTGGAATGTAGAAATGTAGCCGAACATCTCAAACAACTTTAAAATTAAAAAAAAAATTTGGTCCCCAGAATCAAGTTTGTCCCCCTCCCCGAAAAACATTGGGTCCTAGATCCACCCTTGGGTGCTTGTGGCTAGCTTTTAGGGCAACCCTGACCTAGGGATGGTTGTGTGCATTGTGTCAACCAAGCAAGACGATATGGATGAGGTTAAACCCTTGTAACCAGGGCAAGCTAGTTGAATGCACCCACTGTACTTAAATTGTTCACATTTTCCTGGCCTAAAGTTCCTTTTTGTTCATAGTTCGTTCCTGTTTAATGACAAATTACCACTGATCATTGGTCCACATTTTGAGACATGTTCACATGTTCAAGGAGTAATTTGGGTTTCATAGTTTTAATAGTAAAACTCTTGAAATGAAGCGTCTAATCATAGACATAAAATACCTTTAGACTGACAACAGCAGGGGCATAATTTAAGGAAAGTCTCCATTTTTAATAACCATGAGCAAATGGCTGCCTTGTCACCCGGGGTTTTATGAGTTGCTGTACAGCACTGCTCTACATCAGAGAAGATGGACTTGGGACAATTGTGTTAATTGTCCATCAAATATTATTTGGCCCTATTGCTCTTTTTATTAACGTTCTAACCTGGCACAGTTCAATTTTTCTTCCTCATAATTTGGCCCATTATTACAAGCCATTAGTAGGAGCCAAGGTGCATGTTATGTGAAATTCAGATAAATTCCTGACATCCCTGTTGTTTAGTGAATATTTTGAAGAGCAAATTTAACATTTTCTCAAGTTTTATCTGATGGAGCACTAAGAACTGTGTTTCCAAACATTTCAAAAATAAATTCTAAAAATGAAAATCACATACATTATTGGGATTTGTTCAGACTTTCTAAGGTGAGCAATGAATATGGACAAAAATTGAAGTGTTCAGAGCTCTCATTTTGTAAAGGATCTACCTTAATTTTGCCAAATATTGAACCAAAACACAAAAAGGGACCACGTTGTAAACACTTAACAGTATTTTCGGTCACTTTCCAAAATTTCCAATTTGTATTCAACTCAACAGACTTGTGCACACTGCTGAAATATTTTTGCCCTCACTTTTGGGATCAGTCATTGATTTCTGTAGGAGCTGTTGGTCCATAGATATTTTAGATTCTTGAGCTTCCCTGATTGATGTTACAGTATTATTGTAAAACAGCGCCCTCACTTGTTAGGAAAAGGGAAAGACAATTTTAAGCGTTAAAAATGTCACTTTTTGATTCACTGAATCCTAAAGGGGAGTCTGGAAAAATATTTTTAACAAAATACATATCATATATGCTTTCGGTGGTAATGGGTAAGCGTTGTCAAAGGAATCCTTGTCATAGTTCATTCTCTAACATGAAAATGGATGAAAAGCAATAGACACAGTTTTTGTGAAATAAAAGGTCTAAAAATAAGGAGTGTACAGGGATCCCTTAATTTTTGAAGAAATGTCTCAACTTCTGCTGCAACTTAGTTCCTTTTGTGATTAATTTCTTCCCCAGTCTTCCTCATACGAAAGCTGTGGGTATGCCCTAAGAGAAGTAGACCATGGTGCGCCATTGCCTCCTTCAACCTGGAGAGAAGGAAGATAGAGGACAAGATCCTATGGGACTTCAGAGAGATGATTCATGAGAATGTCAAGGAGAGGAAGTATAGATGCCAGTCCTCGCCTCCATCACCGAGGAGAAACAGTTTCCAAGATTGGTTGATGAGGGATCCTCATCAGAATCTTAGGCACTGATTGAAAAAAAGGCAAGGAAAGTACTCAATCTTCTCAGAGATACAGTTCCATGCTTCCACGTTGATGGAGCAAGTATATCTGCATTTGTACACTACTCAAAGGATCAAAGGATCATACGTAGTGATGAATAATTTAAACAAATGGTATTCACATCGCAAAAAATGAACGTCATTTAATTTGGCTATTTTCTGGCATCCAAACAAAAAACTTCTGTTACAGGGTGCTGAAGTCTCATGTCACTGAAAAACACTTTTGCCAGCACCTTGCCGGGTCTTTTGTTTATGAGTAAAAATGATATCGCGGTAATGTGAGGGCGCTGTTCATGAGTTAGAATGATATCGCGGTAATGTGGGGATGCTGTTTATGAGTTTGAATGATACCGCGGTAATGTGGGGACGCTGTTTATGAGTTAAAATGATATCATGGTAATGTGAGGGTACTGTTTATGAGTATATTCTCGTAATGTGAGGGCACTATTTGTGATTCTGAATCACAGAAATGAAGCATTTTGAAGACGTATCTCAGCACGAACAAATTACATGTAACTGTTGGGACCTTTTCATTCAGTAAAATAATGTAATGTCTGACTTGTATCTGTTTGCAAATCTTTCCCCAAATCACATATTTTTATAATTATCTGTAAAAATGATTGATACTAAAAAAAAATCAAATTTGTAGTTGTCAGGACATTAAAAAAAAAGCTTCACAGTTTTCCAAAACCTAAACACAAAATGGTAAGAGGCCCAATATTTCAGTCACTTTTTCTCAAAATGTCCTGAAGTGAGACACGTATGTGTACATCATTTTACCACAGTAGTGTTGTATAGTACTGGCCAGTCTCATTCATGTCATTGTATCCCCCCCCCAACTCTCTAAGACACTCCCAGTCTCTCACCCCCTTGCCTCTGAGTCATTCCAAGAGTCATGTGCAAAGAGAGTGAAAGGTAGCTATTTTGAAGATGTGCAATACCTCAGCAATACACACTGCCCAATGCTTTTTTACCATCCAGCTAATTGGGCTCTGAAACACAACTAACCAATTGCATTGTCTCACATTCTATGGTGCTCAACCAAGCATGAACATGAGCTTCAGTGTACAGTCAAATCAAGTCAATGAGGTACACGTCTGGCCGAAATTTTCAAGGACAAATGTGTGATCCTTTAATTTTTTGAGTAGTGTATATTGGTATACAGTACAACGCTGCTATAATGAACAGGGCAAGGTCCATACACAATGCTTGGCGTAGTATACGGTACCTCCCCAACTATTGCGATTTCATTGGTAGTGTTCCAATTGTCACATTTTCATAGGCCTAAAAAACAAAATGTTCTGATTTCCATTAATAAAAAGGGGAAAAGTCCTGCCAAAAGAGGGCGCTATTTGCCAAAACAGAGAGGGTGCCATTTCCTATGTTGAAATGTCAGTTGTTACACATACGCGTGTGTTCTTGTTCGTGTAAAACAGTTTCTCTTGTGTGGCTGTTTGTTTTGTTGTGGGCTCATAACATGGCCGTTCCAATTTCAGAGTTTATTGACATCTTAACTTTTGAGTCACTGTCATCAGTCATAATTTTTTTCTTTATCATTTAAATTTTTGATGTTCAGTAAAAAAGTGCAGAAAATTTGGGAGCCAAGAGGAATGTTCCATATACAGAATTGTTCAATATAGTGACGTTGTACTGTACTTAATCCAAATTATTCATGACTTAAAGAGGCACTCTGTAAATTAAATAGACAATTGGTCGGTTTGCTTTTGAAGAAAGACTTTAGTTCGCCTTTGTTTCTTTTCATCGTAATGCATTGACTCATACATGTATTAATGCACATTTAAAACATTCATGTTTACATTTAAGTTACTAAGATGCTCTACATGTACTTCAAAATTTGCAAATAATTACAATTAGGAAAGTCTCTAGACACTTTGATAAAGCTTGTAACTGTTGCATGATTTTAAAAACTGAATGGTGTTCCCAATCAGACAGCCAAAATACCTGCACTGTCAACCCAGTGGCTGTTATGAACTTCACTTTTAACAGGTTCGCCCCTGAACAGAGTTATTGACAAACGGGAAGAACTACCAACTTAGGGCTGGATAGCTCAGGTGGTAGAGCACTGGTACAGTGTTCCAGAGGTCACAGGTTCAAATCCCACTCCAGTTAATTTCTTTTGTCCTGGGACAAAATTCTGTGTCCATTTTGTGTTTTCCAAGTTGTACGTCCACATTTGCCAGAGCATTAGAAAAAAGTCTTTTCACTTAAAATTATCACAAAACTGCAGGTCGCAAATTGTTGGCTCAGGGCTAAAAGGTAATTACTGCAAAAATGTAATTTTTGAAAACACTCTAAGGGCCTTACTCTGTGCACGAAAGAAAGTTTATTATTTTGCATAAAACTAGTTTTTGTGGCAAACATGTTTAAATTTTAACCAATTCTGTTTCCCAAATTCATGTCTAAAACAATAGTTTTCACTAAACACCTTTCAGTGCATTTAAGAACCTTTTAGCACTGACATGAAATTTGCTTCATTTGAAAATATTACCTTGCAAAAATGCTTTGTATGTATGTAAAACAATCACCATTTATTGCTGTAACCAGTTAATTTCTATTGGCAAGTGAAATAAATGCTCATTTATTTAAACTAGCACAACAACTTGTTTGTACATGTATATTTGTAAAACTGTAGTACTTTGCCACTTAACCCTTCTAATCTGGAGCATTTTACATTGTCAGAGTTTACGGTACATCTGTTTCCATCTTTAGATTTTACATTTCAGCCTCATCCTACATGAAAGCCCTGCCAGTCTTAAACATCTCCAAGCTCCTTTAAAAGTTCCCTCTTGGAGCCTTTTAGTCTCAGTCTTATAAGGGCTACAATAAACCCAATAGCAATATGGAACATTCAGAAGCTACGTCCTTCAACCCCGTGGGATCCTCGGAGCTCTAGTATGATAGTCCCAAGCCCTCAGCCATCAACTCTACCCTTCCTATCAGCTCTCAGACTTCCAGCCCCTGGGACTTCCACCCTTGCCCATCTCCAGTACACAGTTTGGCTGAAAAATATTCCAAGTCCAAACAATGGAAGGTTTAACATTTAGAAACGAGCACAATTATTCAAGAAAGTGCCGTGGCATAGTGGTTAAGGACACTAACTGCTATGCACAAGGAACTGGGTTCAATTCCAGGTGGGCATGCACAATTTTGTTAAAAAACTTAGTAAAAAAAAAAAAAAAAAAAAAAACCTCCTTTTCCGGGGACCCCGGGAATTGAACCGGGGTCCCCTGGCCTGGCAGCCAGCAAGCTAACCACCAGGCCATAGGCCTCTTGATAGGTAAAATTTCGGAACTTATATTTAAAGGTTAGGATTGCGCAATTACAAAAAAGGTCAGAGGGCACAGCCATTTGCATGTATTTGAATAACAAACATTTCAATATAATTAAATGACAGAGAATACACAAAATATTCAGACTGTTCCGGCCAGTGCATTTTTGGTCTAGCGCCCTCTTGTGTTTTTTCCTGATTCATCACCAGAAGCTGTTCTCGCAGCATTATTCTCATGAAGATTCTATCTTAAAATGTTCTTAAAATCCCTTCTCTTGGGACCAGATCGTCAAATGGTAGGATGCTTAAGATGTAATTGTAAGTTTATTATATTTTAATTGAGTTTATTGTAGATCGTCATTCATGTTTTGAAGAATTTTCAGTGGGTAGTTAATTGTCAAAAAAATTTATGCCAAAACCACTCAACAAACTTGCATGGATTCCACTGAAACTGCCGAGTTGTTCCTAAGAATTCCCCTATTTGACGATATTTCTAGGTCGGATTCTCTCCTCTAAAATGTTCAGTGTTCTTTATTACATAAGATTATGCATGTAATTGACCCTTTTCTATTGTAAGGTTTAGTGTAGCTTAATCAGATCGTGAAGTGGATACTTAGTTTTCGTGTGTAGCCGACACTTGATTAAAGACGTCCACTTACCATTTTTAGTTTTAGCCTCATGAATATTCATAGTGCTGACCATATTTGGGCTTTGCGTAGTCATGAATAGAAAGGATTGTAGCGTTGTATTATTAGCAGTGTGTTCGGGCGTGTAGTACACTTATTCATTGATGTTTGTTTTTAGGTCACAGAATTCCACTTTTGGATGGGAAGGCTATCAAAGACCTCAGACATCTTGAGCTATAGAGAGAACAGTTCTGTAAGCGATTACATTTAATCACCCTCTGGATTGGCTGAAATTTATTATTACATGTATTAAGATATTTTCTTGTATTTTTATTTCTGTGATGTTTCTTTATATCAGTCAAGATTCTTATGCTACAAGACTTTATACACTTCCTAGACTATTTTGCATTATTTCTTATCAGTCTTATTGTATTTTTTGTATATATTATATTTTTTGGTCTTATTTTGTATTTTCCAGTCTTACCATCAAGCGAGAGAGAGGATTGTAATAAACCAGTTTATGCTAATTCTCTGAGTCTGTGGTTAACTGTTGGAAAGAGGGCACCCCAGCACCCCAGGTCCAGATAAGTAGGAAGAATTCTCCAAGACATGCTCAAGATGATCCAAGAAATTGACTCTGACGATGTGAGCTTATTTTCCCAGCCAAGCGGGATGTCTCACAAAACTGCCTCTTTCCGTCAAATCGGTGGGAGCACAATGTCAAGCACAAGCTTAGCTGCCATACAGGCTCATGCCAAGGCTCAGTCCTTGAAAGCAAAGATCGAGTATGCTCATCGGGGGGCAGACCTTCGTCGCCAGGAATCCGATTTGAAACGCCAAGAGGCAGCCATTGCCAGTGCTCTTCTCCTTCTGGGTGCAGAGAAAGATTATGCCATGGCTGCAGCAGAAGCATACGTTTCAGAATCAGCCACCATTACAGAGAACCCTCCCCCA